AGCCCGGGACACAGGGGGGGTGTGGGGAGGCTGTGGGGACGCAGGGAAAGGCCTTTACACTTTACTTTCTGCCCGGTGTTTGACGTATGTGATAGTGGGACCAGTTCCCTTCCACTGGGTCAGGAGTCCCCAGGTTGGATCTTGGGGTGCCCCACAACCCTATCACTGCCCCATCGAACCAGGGCTGCCTGAGGGGCCCCACGGGATTCAGCTACTTGATATACTTGCCCGGGGCTTTCCAGCCCCGTGGGGCCGGCCCGTCAGCCTTGGGAAGGGGCTAGCAGAGCTCTGGGAACGGGAGGCTCAGGCTCCCCCTGCCTGGGACCCCAGCGCTGGTGGCAGGGGCATAGGGCGATGCGAGATCAGAATCTGTTGGGAAATCTGGGGAAATGTGGGGCCGCCCTACCGGAATCACTGCCACCCCACTTCAAAGAGAGCACTAGTGGCATCAGGCAGTGTGGGCAGCTCTGCTGTGGTCTGTGGTTAGCGCAGGCATGGGAAGAGCTGTGCAAGGAAGCCCTCGCCTCGGGACGTGGGTTAGTGCACAGGTTAGCACACGCGTGCTTGCAGAAGCGAGACAATGCCGGAGCGCTGGGGAGCAGCATGAATTTACAGGTCTTGTTTCTTCCAGTGCTGGGAACCTGGTAATGCCATAACGTGCTTTGATAAGCAGTATGAACACAAGGGCAGGTGCTGCAACAGATGTCAGCCAGGTACGGAGACCCCTTCCCCTTCCTGGGGCCACAGGGCCTGGCTGTGCCAGAGCCCACTGCCTGGCCATGGTGGAGCAAGCCCAGTTTGGTGTGATCAATCCACACCTCACCCTGTTGCCATCAGCGCCAACAGCTTCACCTCCCTCTGTCACCTCAGTGCTACAGCAACTGGGGACCTCATGGGTGCCCTGGGAGAACCCCTGGACCTCACCAAATCTCCCACAGCTCTCTTGGGACTGTCTGTGCTCCTGCAGCTGCAGGACTCCATGGGATGGGCAGCTTGCAGGGAGAGCACTGCCGCAGGCACTACCAGATTGTGCTGGTATTTGACAGCTCCCGCTGTCACTCACAGATTGTTTCCCAGTTCTGGAAGCAGTGAATGCCCCCCCCCCCCTGCTCTCCTGCCCCAGCACCCAGCAGCCCTTTCCACCCGGCCCCATGTGTAGCCGTTGGAGTGGCATTAGGCTACCAAGATGCTGCTTGGTGGTGGCCCTGGCATCCACAGCTGCTAGTGGTCCCCTGTCCTGCTGGCAGAGCTGCTGCCTGAAGAGGGGGAAAGCCCCCTCGTCCCCTCCTCACCAGCCTCTATTGCAGGGGAAAAGCTGGTCTCTGAATGCAGTGGCACGGAAAACTCTGTCTGCACCCGCTGTGAGAGCGGGCACTATCAGCAGAGCTGGACCAAGGAGAGGCACTGTGCCCCCCATGATATCTGTGAAGACAGTAAGTGCTCCCTGTGCCCACTGGCGCCAGCCTGGAGGGGCTGGTGTCCCCTCGGGCTCACCTGCCTGGTGTCTCACCTTGCCCATGCTCCCTGTGCCCAGACGCTGGCCTCATCGTGAAGACGCAAGGAAATGCAACGCACAACACGGTGTGCCAGTGCCGGGCTGGCATGCACTGCTCTGACAGCAGTTGCCAGACCTGTGTGGAGAACCAGCCCTGCCAGCGCGGCTTCGGCTTCGTGGCAGGTGAGTCCGACCAGCTCCTTCCTCTCAGTGGGACTGATGCCCTGGCAGCATTGACCTCAGGTCCTCCAGGGAAAGGGGGACTCCCCCGGCAAGGTGCCCCTAGCAGGGCTTCGGGAGAGCTGTGCCTGCTGCTGTGCCCTGGCAGCATTGCCACAGGGAGGGCTGCTCGCCTGACCCCCACAGCCCCTCACCTCCTAAAGTCCATACTGACCTTCCTGCAACCGCTGTTTCTCTCCAGCCAAGGCTGTGGACCGGATGTCCTCCCCCTGTGAGCCCTGTGCAGAAGGCACCTTCTCCAACATCTCTTCTAAAACTGAGCCGTGCCATCCCTGGACAAGGTATGGCAGTGCGGTCTGAGTGCTGACCACATCCTTCACCCATCCCCAGCTGTCCCCAGTCCCTGTGAGCACATCCTGTGCTGCCAGCCCCCTTAGGGGCTTTGGGGATCGGGCGGTCAGGATCGTCTGAGGGACACAGCATCAGGCTAGCGTAGGGCAGGAGCTTGAGGAGCAGAGCTATGATGGTGGTGAGGTCCAGGGCAGTGTGGCTGAGCACGAGGCAGACATCCAGCTCCTTGTGACTGTCCCTCAGCATGGGATGAGGGGCTATGAGGACTGCCCCCCCCCGCCATGCTCTGCCCAGGCTCTCCCTGCCAGCACGTTCCTTGGATATTGTCGTCAGCCAAGGCACCAGCCCTCTCCGTGGGGAGTCTGGCTTTGAGAATGCCATGGGCTGGCAGGTTGTCCCTGTCTTTAGAAAGCTGCTTCAGGGTTAATTGCGCTCCCTGGTAGAAACGTGAGCCTTATTTCCAGGCTGAATTAGTCTCGCTTCAGCTGCCAGCCATTGGATTTCACTTTGCTTTTATCTGTGCCCAGAAATTACCTCCCCATGGAGCCACTTGTAGCCTGTCATCGAGTCATCTCTGAGCTGTTCAGCAATAGCCACAGTGCCCAAGCTCCAGGGTCTCCCTGACTGGGCAGGTCTCAAATATCTGCTCTCTCCTGTGCCTTGTTCCCAAACTTCTCCCCATCTTTGGCAGTTTCAGCAACTCCAGACCAGGACCCCAGGGTGGGGCCATGCTATGTACCTGTTGTCCCTGTCACACAGCACAGGCCCTGGTGTTGGCCGGGGTCCCCCAGCCACTCACCCCTCCAGAGCCCGGCTTAGGATGCTTTCTCGTGCAGCTCTGGTGGCTGCCGAGCCCTGGCAGTTCCTCCTCAGGGGCTTTCCGTGTGCTCAGGCTGCTGCTGTGGTTACATGGTCTTGTTCTTCCGTGCAGCTGTGAGGAGAAGGGGCTGGTGGTGAAGGCGAAAGGGACGAACACCTCGGACGTAATCTGTGGTAAGTGCCCGGGGCTGGTCTGATGCGGAGCAGAGCTCTCCTGGTGCTCCAGCTCCCACAGCGCTCAGAGGAGCTGACCTGGCCCATGGGTGTTTTTGGGAGGGAGTACCGCACTGCTGGCACAATATCTTCCTGCTCCTCTCTGTTCCCATGGGGGAGTCCGCATGGGACTCGGCCTGGGGAAGAGGCAATTTGGGGACCTTGGCATCGTGGTGGG